AGGAAGCAGCAAAATCCTTCCGAATTCCTTTTGAATGCTTGTCTGCCAGTACTTACACATTAGTATGAAGCTGGAATTCATCAGTCTTATAGCCAACAGCAAAGTTGCTCTGGGTTACTCTAGACTTTGTTGTCTCAAAAGTCATTTGGTAACCTGCCAGCCACCCCTCGTAGCCAAGCACCAGGGCTCCACGTATTGAAGGTCCAGCAATGTCAAAATCCATGTCACAGCCAATGTTGATGTGTTCCCTTTTGTACCCTGACCTCACTTTCGCACTCTTTTTCCTAAAAAAAGAAAAGAAATTATCTCATATCTCTGAAAAGGTACACTTGTAAGTAGAAATTCCATCAAATCACTTACTTTAACTCAGTGTATTAGTTCCTGAAGACAACATACACATCCTGGAGAGCCACATAATATGTCACTTTCTCGCCCTCCACCTCTGCAGAACCCAAATTCAGCTACAGGGAATTATTTGCAATTGAGCAATAAAATGCAGTGTGGTGCCCCACAAAACATTTCTGGGCTATGTTCTGAAAAGCAGCACACACAGATGGGAGGTGACAAAACCAAACCCTCATCTCCAACTGATGGTTTGGGAAGTTTGGTAGATGCAGGAAAGGAGTAGCACCTGCAACAGTTTACAGGTTTGCCAGCAAGAGTTTGTAATAGTTTCCCAAAAAACAATTTTTAGACAATTCTAGTGAATTGTGAAATTGTCTTTACTGTCACAGACATCAAGAAATCACTGTTTTGTCTGTAGCTTCTGAGGGCAGGTCTCTGCTGCTCAGCAAGCAGGCTGCTCTGGTGGCTGTGACACCTTGATTCCTCCTTAGGGTGCTTTATAAATGTTAATGGTCACAGCACCAGAAAGCTGCCAGGTTAACACAGGAAGGAGTCACCTGTTTTGTTTCATACTATTGGCCAGAACAGTGTTTTCTCATGTGTTCTTAGGGTGATTTACATCAAGGGTGCAGACCCTCACAAGGCAAGAGAGTTCTGTCTTTGACCAAATCTTTACTGAAATCTTTCTGGAAAAGTCAAGCTAATTTGAGATTTTAAATCAAACTTTCATGTCAGCTAGCAAAAACAATCTACAAGAACTGTATCAGTGCTGTATCAGACCCACACAGAGACTGCTCTCTTTTTTATTGTTATTATTTCAGACTCAGAAATTTGTTGCGTTTTGCAGAATCTGAAATAAAGTGCAGGAGTGCCAAAAGCATTCATCTGCAACTTCTATAAAAAGTCAGTGGTACCTCTCCCACCAATGTCAACAGGGACAGAGGCAAGAACACAGAGTGCTCCTAAAAATGACTTCCTGTGTTGAAAGACTCACCACAGTCAGAAGTAGTAAGGAAGGGGGAGAGTCTCATATTCAGACATGATGCATTCCTGTCAACCTAAACCAGGACACACCAGGACTGACTCTCACTCCATTTACTTAAATTGTTAACAATCCTCCCAAGGCAATCATGACTCAGGTACTACAGTGTCTGTAAAGAGCCTAAGAAATAGTTATAGAGCTGCAACATCATTCTCGGACAGGTTTTTTTCTTTTTTATTTCTCTAAGAATCCTACCAGTTAAGAAATATTTATATAAACAAACATTCAAAGATTATTCTGCTTAACAAAAACATCACACTAATTTAGAATTAGAAGTGGACTGGAAACAGATCACTAAATCTAAAGGACAAGGTGAAACCACCCCTAGGACTACAACCCCAGTGGTCTGCAGTGCACTGTGCTGCCCTGGGAGCCTGATGTGCAGAGTATTTCGACTCACTGGCAGCACTGCTTGCACAAAGATAATCAGGGGGAAAAAATAAACCAACATCTAGACCTACAGCTGCTGCTTAATCCCTCTGGCCCAAATAAAACATGGCATCCAATCGCCGAGTCAGAAATACCCATCCACCACCAAGGCACGCTGTGGCCAGCAAGAATTCAGATGATAAATTCAGCTTGGGAGAAGAGCCCAGTTCTGTGTCAACCTATTAGAGCCGTGGCCAACTGGCTCCTGCAGCATGTTAAGCTTTGCATTACAGCTGACTTGTTTAGGGCTTTTATTCAGGGAGCAGCTCATCCTCTGACATAGCCAGAAATACACGATGGGAGCACAAAGAGAACCTTTCCCTCACCCCCTAATTCTGACTATAATTTACAAGTTACTGTACGTAAAAGTTTGCTTGCTATTGCTTAGGATTAAACGGGGATTGTTAATGGTAAGATTTAAGGGAGGTGTACATGATTTCATCATACACAGGCTGATTATTAACTGCCTTGATATCTCAGGACAGAAAATTAAAAATGCCTTTGTCACTGAAGCTTACTCACTTCTTACCCAGTGTTAGGAGAGAAGGTGGAGTCGAAGGTCAGCTTCAGGCCACGTGCAAGCTGAACAGAAAAGAAATTCACTGGTTGGATTTCTAACTAGAGACTGGCATAAGTGAATTTGAAAATTGGTTTTTTTGAGCCCAAAATTACCTGATCTTCAAGAGTAATCTCAGTGCCTAGCGTGTTGTCGGTGTTCCACTTTTCTGTGAACATCAATCCATATTCCACCCATTTGTATTTTGTTTCCAAACTACCACTAACTTTGCTTGTTTCTGAGTTTGCTGAACCTGAGCTTGTAAATTCCTAAAACAAAATAAAAAAAAAACATATATGTATTTGCCAATTTATACATATATCCACACTCAGGCAAATACTTATAGTTGTAGAACATATTAGTCATGCTAATTTTTTTTATATTAGTCCAGATAAATACCAAGTAACTTGCAAAGTTAGAACTCATCTGAAAAATGGTAAGGAGAGAAAGCAAAGGATACATAGATATTTTAAAAAGAAATACACAGTAAACATGAAACATTAAATGTTTAGGATTTCAATGTGTTTCCAAACTCACCAGTCCATTTTCAGATCTCGTTTTCAAATCAAGCTTTATTAACCCAAAACCTAGAAGGTGAGTAAGAAATATGAATCAAATATATGTCAATTTGAAAAGCATTTCTGATTTTTTTCTTGAAACTCCATTCTAAATCACCTATGAACTATTAAAAAGTTAAACCGAGGTACAGTTATCAAACCATGTGTTTTTATGAAGCAGATTATGTGGCTTGTACTGACTTCAGACAGCACTTGACTGATTAATCCTACTGACCTCAGCAATAGAATTGGGATCAAATTAGGTAATAATGCCTTTATTCATACTGAGCAGCATTCTGTTCATAAGCAACTACTGACATCAGTGATCCTATTCATCAATACAAGGAAACAGTCAAAACACAACACAGAATTTTCTCTCAAAAGAAACAACAGTCCTATGGGGAACAGGAAGAATTTTGTCAAAAGTAAGTTACCCTCCCATTCCAGACAGCAAGGGCAATGTGAAGCTGTGACAGAAAATTCTGTGAACTCTAATGGAAATTATTGAAATATTTATCAGAAAAACTAGTAACATCCTAACAGTTTCAGGAATCAGGTAGACAGCAAAAGACCAAAACTTATTTTGGCTTTATTTACCATATCCCTTGGTGAAAATATCTCTGGCGGATTTGCCCAGATCAGCATAAGCAGGTGGAACAGCCATTTTCTGGAAGGGAAAAATTAAGAAATAAAAAACGGAAATTACAGTGTTCAGAAACTTATTCAACTCATTTAAGCAACAGGAAACTTGAGTCCATTTCAGTAACTTTTCTTTTCTATCCTTCACCTATCACTTAAATACAGCCTAAAGAAAGCAGCTATAGCAAACTGATTTCCTTTTGCTCAGGGACCAGCAGCAGCAATGACCATGCATTTGCCACTGAAGATGAGAAACAGGCTGCAGAACAAAGACAGATTCATAGAAAAGGAACCATCTACACCTTTCCATAGAGTTAACTGGTTTTCTCTTATCAGTGTCACTGCATGAATGAACAACTTCTGGGTTTTTTTAACCATTTCTCGGAAATGTTTCTCCTGTTTCTCACAAAGGATCTTTTTGTTCTGATGTAAAGCATTAGGGCTCCAACTCCTTCCCTCAGGAAATGTAACCAGGACAAGCCATCTACCATCAGGAGCACCTCTCTCCCTCTAATTCAGAACAGCAAATGGATAACACTTAGGTCAGCAAAATCAATAAATGGTCATTCCTCTGCTTCAGTTTTCTTTTGATGTTGCTATCACTGTTAATGGGTTAAAATGTCTCTTTGGACAGCGACCTTTAAGTGGTTTTCTGTGCATGAACTGAGAAAAAATGAGATTGCTGAGAAAAATTCAGACTTGAAGGGAGGCCACAGTGTGCAGTCAGGCCATCAGGAGGGTGGCCACAACCTGCTTCAGCAGCCAAATGCAGACTGGAGCTCCCTGCAAAGGCACAGCCTCGTGGTGGGGACACCGGGAGCAGCTTTCTCTGCTGTATTGTTTATTTTGCAGGTCCTCATTTTCCCATCTTCAGCAGGCCCTGATATTCCTAGTTCTCCTGCAAGAGAGGTGAATGCAGCCAGTGTTCTCAGCCACTGGGAAAACTGTCTCCTCATACATGGAGAAGAAAATAGGATCCTGAGATGAACAAATCAACCAAATCTTTTTTTCATGCAGGTACAGTAATTTCTACTTATTCAAGCACAGTAATTTCTTCAAGGGAAACAAAGTCAAGCAATCTGAAATGGTGTATATCTTCTGTTTTTATAGACAAGATTTCCCAAAATTAAAAAACCAAAGGAGACAAATCATGCTTACAGAGCTGATCCTCTCAATACCAGATTCCATATTCCCAAATTTTTGGGTATGCAAAAGTAATAAGCAGTTTACTACATATGCAAGCCAGTGCTTAAAAAATTGCCTGCCAGTTCCTAGTCCAGACTGTTCAACATTAGCAGAAAACTATTCCTTTAAACCCCAAACAAACCCACTAGCTCCAAACATGAGGGATGCTTTAGTAGTCTCCTCTGGCTGTAGACTTGGATGCAGTTCTTGGGTGAGCACAGCACCCCATGAAGATCAGACATAGACTTTCAGCAGTCACTCAGCACCTCAAGCACTCCAGCCAACAAGCTGTTGCTTGTTAAAGCATGATATTGCTATTGCATGAAGGAAGAATCTCTGTTCTAGAGGGCACAAAACAGATCTGGTGGCTAAGCATAAGCAGTTTTCTCAGAACATAAATAAATTAGGATACAAGTGAAAATATTGATGTAGCTTCAATTGCAGAGGCTACTTGGGTGCATGTCTTCTCTCTCCAGTTATACTTCAGTAGTAAGGTGCAGCCCCAAATACATAAGCAGCAAAGAGTTAAAAAAAATTTTAAAATATAAAAATAAGTGATTAATATTCCAAAGCAGTTTTAGCTGCTTATATTGGACCTAAATCTCTTTGGTTTTGTTTTGTGAAAACAAGAAAGCAAGATTCTAATGTTTATACACAAAATAAGCCTTAACAAAAGGAGGAAAAAAAGTTTACAAAAAAAAAAACCCAAACATATGCACAAAAAACCCCAAAGAAAGTATTACTACATTTGAGTAATTCTCCTGCCCCTCATTCATGTCACAATACCCTGCCTGGACATCATACCCCAAAGTCAGGTAGCACTGAGGGGAGGGATGGCATCAGTCACTAAGGGCTGTATGAGTGCAGGAAATGCTTCTGCCCTGCCAGAGCAGCCCAGCCCCATGAGAACCCTCTGATGGGTATTGCCATTTAGCATCATCAAAAATTTACAATGGTGCAAATCCCCACACCTGGAAAATCAAATAAGCATTGCTTTGAAAGATAATGCTGCACTGCTCTGCCAGCTGCACCTTGGAATCTACCACATCTCTTTTATCAACAGTCCCTTTGAGTTACTTCATAAAATCACAAGCGTTTTCTTGAAAAATGAATGCTGTATGCTTTTGGGTTGGATTTTCTCATTTATGTCTTTCCCTTATCCAAGCCCATGAAGCCAAGTTTTGTTCCCTGACATCTGTGAATCCTCTCTGGATGTGGCCAGGCTCATCAGGTGGATAAGTTGTGCCAGGCTGCTCCACTGCTGCAGTCTGGGCCATGGCTCCAGATCAGTGGGAGACATCGAGAGCTCCACTTAGACAATTACTATAATTAGGGGACAATACTGAAAGCCAAATCCCTGCTGGTTGTAAGGCAAATCATGTAACGCATCCGGAGCAAGGTGTTTAAAACTGCTGAGTGTGGAAAACACTAGGAGCTGTGTATCTGGTGGTTAACCTTGGTGTTGTCAGCAAGAACAAAACAAAAATAATTATTTCTGTTTGCACCGGCTAATCAGAAGCCTCTTGTTTAACAGATGGAAAACAAAACTGATTACATCCTGTGTGAGTGCAGGTTGTAAGACAAGCATGCTTAGCAGGGATTCAAATTCTTAAAGGATCAAGGAATGGCCGTGGCCGAGTGCCCTTGCTTTTCACCAGTGGGATCCCAGCACATTAACTCAGATTAGGTTTGGACTGAAATGAATTCATTGCTTTTATCCTTGTCCAACTGTGCAAATAGCTCAGTGTGACTGTGTACCTCCACTCCCACACAGAGTGGGCCAAGTAAAGTATCTATAACTTGCTCTAAGTAGGAGACTATTTTCATTTTCTTGAGTAGTAACCACCATAGTGCAAGTGATGACTGAAGAATACCTGAACTGAGGAGTAAGCTCCACGTGCTGCTGTGAGCACACCTCTAGGAATGCCTGATTTATAACTACCACAGGAGAAATTTGGGAGCTTCCTTCGGAGCTGCAGGACCCAAGAGCTCACCCAGTGAAGATTTCATTACAGCAGGCCAAATTGGAATATTTTCCAGTGTCACGGATGGCAAAGTTTTCACTCTATGATGCAGTTCTGGGCAATTAAGTCAAATTCAGTCCAACAAGCAGCAAATCCCCAGGGTGCCCTTGGCAGATATAAGGACTGACTACAACCAAAGGAAAACTCATCCCTGCTTGATAATTCCCATACATGCCTAAGTTAAAGTTTCCCTGCACAGACTTACCAACTTCATGTCTTACATGGGGGAAGGAGCAATCTAAAAATTTAAGATAAGAATGAAATCCATTATAAGAATAAAATTCCCACGAAGACAATGGGAGTCTATCAGGTTCAAGGCTAAGAAAAAAAAAAGGTTGGATTCAACCTTATTGTAGCCACATTTTTGCCTCGTAAGTTTGAACTCATGTACCATTTCTTGATGGTAACAGTAGTTCTGAACATTCCAGCTCCCTGTCTCCACAAGCATTACCCCTGAAAAGATGCTAACTGCAGAGTGGACATGTAACAGCTGCTGGGGACAGCTGGGAGGGACGGACAGTATCAGGTTATGAGATCAGGTACAGTCTGTATGGGAAAAAATGCACAGGAGGATCTTTTACTTCATGACTAAAAAAAAAAAGAATATTAATTTATTTGTCTTTTATCTCCTTCATTAAAGGAAAATTTATTCCATGGAATGAAGCAACTTTTAAGTGCCTTTCTGGACCCACAGCCTGTGCAGTGTCATTTCCCAACCAATATATGTTGTATCAATAGACCATGATGGACAGTGCTTTTGGCCTCAGGTGGAACAGGGCCCAGCTCTCTCCACATCCCACAGCAGGCTGGCCAGAGTCACCAGCCCCACACAGCACCAGTGCTCCTGTCCCACCATCCAACACCCCAGGCTGCCAGGTGAGCACGGTGCTGGCTCCGCAGTTTGGGTTTTATGATCCAGAACCCTTCAAGTCATGCCTACAGTTTGCTTCAAATCAGACTCAGCAGCCTAATTGTGCAGAGATTTTAAGGGCACACTTACCCGTAAACACATGCACAGTCAGGCTGAGGTCAAACATCAAGTTGGGCACATTCATGAGGCTTTTGAGAAGCCAGTAAAAGCACACGGGTTGTAAAAATACTCTGCATTATGAGACACAATACTTAACAACACTTTTTGCCCCAACTTGCTACTGTGCCAACATCATCTAATCCGTGCACCATTATGACTCAAAATTTAAGCCTTGGGAGTCCACAATTTCTTTTGTGCAGGCATTATAAAGCCATGCAGCGTCCCTGTGACACTCACAGGATCCCAGCCTTCCTGCTGCAGCTCTGCTTTGGAACTGCATGCATGATGGAGCAGATTTAAGGATTGGTTTGTGCAGTACCTCACTAGCCCAATAAACACAGGAACAGAGAGCAGATAAAACCCTTAAAAGCAAACTTAAATATTATTATTTAGGCTATACTAATTAATGGAATTAAAGAAAGAGACAAGCTGCTCTTAATTGTATGGGTATAAATTAACAATTGCAATGTTGTATGGTAACCCTTTATTAAACTATCACATCTCAGTATCAATTAAATGAAGTAGGGGGATGCTGCAGCTGCTGTAGTTACTCAACCTTTTATTAAACTATCATATCTCAGTATCAATTAAATGAAGTTGGGGGATGCTGCAGCTGCTGTAGTTACTGAGCAGCAAGGGAACAACACAGAATCACATACCCTACACGTGAAACTAAACTCTGATGTTAACTATCTGCTTCTGTTAGATATCTGCAGAGGAGGAGAGGAGCAGCGCTGCTGTGTCACCCCGTGCCACCAGCACGGGGCAGAGGCCAGGCCAGTGCACG